TTTTAAGATTGTTAACATTTTAATAAATTAGTTCAAAATTAAAATGTAAAGATATAGATTAAACCAAAATGTTTTACTTCAGCGTTAACTCAAAGCTTCCCAATACATAGTTTACAGTTACACTATTATTTATTGATATTACATTTGAAGAATGATATTATAAATAACAATACGTATATAGGTAAAATTGATTGTATTTCCAACATTTCTAATATAGGTAGTCAAACAATCCCAAAAATAAAAATGTTCTCGTTAGTTTTGTTTTCGAGATATATTGTTTAAAAATCCTAATGGTACTTTTAAATTTGTTTGGTTTTTCGTATTCAATATACTACCTTACATGCAATTACTTGTGTCTAGTGGTATATAGTTCAAAAACAAACATTGAAATATGTATATTGTATATATATATATTTAGAGTGAGGTTTCTATAAACTATAAGTAAAGCTTTAAGATAATGTAAAACAAAAAAAAACAATTGTTATATAGTTCCTATATTAAATTTACTTATTTAAAATGTTTAAGAAACAAATACATATTTTTAAATAAATTATTTACTATTTAAATGAATTTACAATAAAAATATTACACAGTATATTTTTATAAATCAGTTAGTTTCAATTGGTAAATTGTAATCAAACAAATCACTTATCAATAGAGATCGTGTTGCATAAATGAAAAAAATGAACTGTGTATAGCTGAAGCTAACTGATTTATAGGTTTTTTTTTAATAAATCATTGATACACTGATAATAGTGTCAAAGTAAAATTACGTACAGAAAGATTAAATCTTGATTGATCATTGATTGACAAGTGTACACCGATTTTTATACGAAACACAAATCTCATTTGAAATATTCTAATTTTGCACCATAAATTACTGTAATTGTACAACGATTTTTTTAAAACATAAAATTGAAAACAAATATTTTAACGAATTTTTGTAATGGTAACTAATAACAATGTATTTTTTCAAATATTTTTTTTAACAAACTTTTTACCGATTATCGAAGGAGTGAATAAATTATACAATATTAAGTGTAAAATATGATCTTGCGTTTGTTCACCCGTGACTATCGTATCGCATTTAGATTTTGTTATATATTTATGTCGGATATGAGTACTGTAATGAGGGTATATTAACTATGAAAATTTAAATAAATATCACCCTACTTCTATGCCTAAATAAGTTACGGTTCATAAAGTCATTCACAATATGAAACCACGTGAGCTGTGGACCATTTGGCTAGCGGACAAGTATACTATGATATTAAAATAATATTTAAGCAAAAGGACGAGAGTCATCGAAATCGCAGAGCATAATAGAAACATGGTTAATACGAAAAAATAGATTTATTGATTTTCGGCTATTAAAAATACTACGAATAAGCTATTTTAAACGCTCTAAGAAATCCATCAAAATATTTTTTTTATTAAGAAATAAGAAGTTATATTAAATTTAATAAAAATAAAAATGAAAATAAAATATATAAAAGTGCATAACAATTTTTTTAAATAAATAAATACAATAAATACAATTATACTTCGTTTTTAATCTTTACGTGATAAATTTGATAAATTATAAAAAGTTAACATAATTCAATGTCAATAACTTGTTAGAGTGAATTTTCCCGTTGTATTAATTACGATTCATTCCGTGACTATTGTTTTTGGCGTAAAAATTCAAATTCAATGTCTCGTTTTGCTATGTGGAAATTTCAACAGAATGCACCTTTGCATTTATAGGTAGGAATGTCTATATACGTTTAAAATCTTTTTATCCTTTAGTTCTTCTGCATAATACTAGATATAATTATATAACTTTCCAGTTTTCCTGTATAATTTAAAAAGTATTTATTTAATTAATCATTAACAAAAACTCAGTTCATTACATAGCAAATGTATTACAATTTTTTATACTGCAGTGACCGTTGCTTGAATAAATTCTACAAAATTGTGATACAGAATTTAGGAGGGAATTAAAACTCAGTAAATCTATAGAGACTGTATATTATATAAGTATAACTCCCTTGTGCATTATTTTATTTTTATTTATTTAATTAATATATAGGTATTATACGACTATATATTATATTATAGTTTAACGTAATACGGTTATGTTAATTTAATAAAGTATATAATAAAGGTAAATATTATATTATTCGTATTATATATAATATACGCCCGCGTTTAAGTTCTAAACAAAATGTAACACAACATTATATAATATATTTCCTTCTTCCTATACATAAAATAAAATATAGGATTAAACTCCGACCTCCTCCCCCTCACGACGAATCCAATTATTATTACGTCGGCTCCTGTCATTTGAAACCCCATACGAAAATACTATCCCCTCAGGACATCATATATACTGCAAAGAGACATAGAGCACTGTATAGCAATTTCGCATGACAGCTATATATATCATACATGTACATTATACCTGCAGCTGAGAATCGATTGTCGCGGTCATCTCTTCGGTCTTCTTGTGGTTTTTCTCCGGACACTGTGTGCCTTTGTGCTAATCTCCATCCTTTCCCTCGAGCACTACACTCTCCACGGTAAATCTGAATGTGGCGTACACGGTTATAGGTAAATTATATTATCTACATGTATAATTTTTGTCGTCACGACCACCATCGTTGATTAATATTATTAATGTTTCCGTAATATCCAAAAGCCGCATGCTTTGCGTTTGCTGCAGTATCAAAACTAGGTAGTAATATAGCTAGGTTAGGTTAGGTTAGGTTAGAGTAGGTATTTACGAGAGGTAAAAAAATCAATATCATAAAGCTTTGAATTTAATGTTTTCCTTATGTACATTGTACATAGTAGTACCTAACTATAGTAGATTAACGAGTTTCATTTTTTTACCCCATTTTATCAAAACACGTTATACTTTCTACGTTCTTAAATTGATTTTATTTGTATCATTACAAACTATTTTATTGAACTTTTAAGACATACATCCATTAAACTCTAATTATATACATTCACACTTAACAAATGATAGCGGAATCCAAACATGAAATAGCAGACAACGTTAATATATCTACTTTATTTATTAAAAAGAACGAGATGCAAGTGACGAGTATAATAACCTCGCGGCTCAGCGTAGTTTACAAACATTAAATGCATTTACTTACCTAAGTATTTAGATCTATAGTTAATCAGAATTTCAAGGACTCTGCAGAATGGGATGAGTGAAGTATTAATACTTTAGTGACTAGTGACTAAAATAATATTATTATTATATCACTACTTAGAGTGAATTGTTCAAATATATTATACGTATACTTTATAGGTACTCGATAGTTTTGTTAGTTTTTTTTTTTATATTTTAGTTTTAAATTGAGTTATCTGTGAGCACTGTTAAATAATATTTTATTGTTTCATATTGTTATAACTCACTTTAAGACAATAATATAGATAAGAATCACGTCGAGAAATCACATAATATGATGCTGTTGCGTTTAAATGTTATAAAACTTTGTAAATACTCTAATAAAAAACGAACGAAACATTAAAATTTTTTTTTTTAATTTACAACTAGTATAAATGAGTTTACAATAAGCTTATAAGCACATGAAGATAATATTAAAAATAATAACTATTGAATTTGTGAATAACAAGTAATTAAAAGAAACTGTAACTAAATTAAACAGCATTTTCGTTACCAGAATTTATTTTCTAATATGAAATTTTAATGTGTAGTGCATTACGAAATATTCAAAAATTTTTTATCGTTACAAGGTGTAACTATGATAAAATTGGTGTTGTAGTTATTTTATTTAGTTGGTTATTTATCCTGAATACCAAGGGTCAACAACCTTTTTGGTGATAAGGCTGTTTAGTATATTCATTTAATGTGGTATGTATTAACAGTTTTTTAATAATAACACATACTAATAAGCAATATTAAATAAAAGTACAAAGTAAAATTGAATGTGATTTTTAAGTTTGAACCAATTTATTAATCGTAGGTTTGATTTTCGATGTAAACATTCTCAGTATAGCATTCAGGTGACCATCGGATAATCGTGAAGCATATTTGATTTTTCGATATTTCATTAGTGAAAAGGTTTTCTCATAAATATAAGTACTTCCAAACATGGATAACATTTGTCAAGTTTTATATTTTATTTTTCTAAATTTTGTTTCACAGAGACTCGAATAAAACTGAACTAAGTTGTGGCCATCATGAAAAGCAGTTTTAAGACTTTCGTCACTTTGCAACTCAATAATTTTCATTTTTTTAAACAATAATGACGTGATATACAATATTTTTATACTAATTATAAATTTTTATCGCGGGTTACCGATCCTTACTGTATATTATAAATTATAATACTCTAGACTAAATAAAAATCAATCCGGAGATCCCTACATCATACAGATTGTGCCTTTATTATTAAACGCATACGTCCAGGACCGTATTTGTGTAGAGAAAAGTAGAAAAATAACAGAAGATTGTTGCTATGTGTAACTAATTTTGATGAGGTTGCTATTTTTTCTAAATTTTGTTATTTTAATCTTATCAAAACTCCATTCACTCTACGATTATTATTAGGTTACTATATTATATTTATACCTTTATTGTAATTTGTTACTACCATTAATTATATTATGACTATCATAAGCATGAACACCTTAGCTTTGTTAAACATAGAAAGTGATTTAACGTCCACCATGTATTGGTATCTCTCAATCTAAGAAGAACGTTTTAATTTGCTTAACACATTATATGTAGGTACATATACGTTATAAGTACTAATTTTATCAAAAAAATCGTTTTTTTTTTCTTTAAATAATTGGATGATTTTTTATTGTCGCCCCGTGGTGATAAATCTGTAGACCACAGTCGACGGAATGTAAACATTTTTCTGTCAAGCAGACAGACGCGGTAAGGACGAAAATCGAGCAGAGGTTCGCCTGGCTATATTAAGTGGGAGAAGGATCAATGAAGTGGGAGAAACAGTCTGGGTGCTTCGCGCAGACTTCGACAAGTGCACCCAGAACAGTCACGCGTCGCTGTCGGAGTTCTGTTTAGTACATCGAATTATATTTTATATCATAACTATTTACAAATATATATTAATGGCTGGTTGTCGTCGCGTATCGCAATCGTTGTTCCATTTCTGTCACGCATTCGCCCTAGCCGTGGCGTTGGCGGTTACCGGAAGCGGCGGGGACGACGTTGGCGGAGGACAGGATGCCGTCGATGTACCGCCACTATGTCCGGGCGACGGGTGCGCCGCGATCCGGTGTCCTGTCCGCGACCGAGACATTTGTCCACTGGGCCTAGTGCCGGACGCGTGTGCGTGTTGTCCTAACGGCTTATGCGGCTTGGGCGAAACAGCCCCGTGCAACGCTGCCGACCGACCGTGCGCTGAAAATTTGGAGTGCGTCAAAACGGTATATTATAACTATATAATATAATATATACATAATATTCGTATTGTCAGGCCTAAGTAAAACTTTAAGAACACTTAAGCAAATCTAGGTTTTGCCACTCTTGGCACGTTTACATATTATAAACTATTATTCCAATTAAAAATTAGTTTATGAAAACAAAACGAAAATCAACGTAGGTACTCCTGTATAGGAACATTATATTTATTTATATATATTAATTATTTGTTTATAAATAACAATTAACTAGATCAATACAATATTATAGAATAATAAACCTCTACTAATTTAAGGTAGTTACGAGTGTGAGTAATTAAAACAAATAACATCAACTAACCAAATTATCAAATCAAATTCAATATATACCAAATTAACATTTATATTTTTTGTTGTGGATAATAGTCGATACTACAATAGTATTTGTTTTATCATAATAATAAGACTAACTATGAAAACAAAAGTCATTAATATATAGGTAATAAATATTAAAAAAACTAATTCAATAGGCAATAAATAAAATTATACATGTTATACTTAATAGTGGCGTATTTAAAATTTCTTTGAGAGGGGACATATGATAAAAATTGTCGATTCCAAACGTCTCAGCATTTTATTACCTAATATCAAAGCGATAAATGAAAAAACTCACAACTATAACTATATAAATATAAGTAAAAATAGGGGATGAAGGGAGAAGACATATTTTTCTAATCTCCTCCCGTAAATATACCACTGAAACATATCAGCTGTAGTGTCGAGAGTATTTTCTAAAGATACATATGGTAGGTACAGAGAATTAAAAAAAAACATTTTTAACGATAACATAATTTATTTTTTTCTATATGCATTATAACATTTAGTACAATTATATTTTTAAAATTATTTTTATATTAGTTTGAAATTTATTTTTACTCTTGTAGTGTTTACATGTACACAAAATATCAAATAATATACATAATAATGGCGGCCCGCACCACACTGCGCAGGAAGTAATTGAAACAAATTAAGTGTATAATTATATAATTTAAAGAAGCAAAACTATCTAATTAGAAAATATTCAACCTAAAAGTTGAAGATCAAATAAAAAAAAACTAATTAGTAATAATTATCAATAACCCTCGTCAATCAATATTATCAGCCGATGCTATTTATCTTCACATTATGCTATGTATGCTATGAATATCTATTTTTAGATCTAAAACATAACGATGCAACATTTTGCAGGCAGACTAACAGATGTCTCTTCTCGACCATTTTTGTTTTCAACATTATTAATTAAATTGTACTAAATATTTTTTTTATGTATAAACTCAAGAACATTTATACAATATTTACAAATTCAAAGTGTCGTTTGTTAAAAATTATAACGAAACAACTAATTTTTATAATCTTTAAAACACCTTACAATGAGTTAATATTGTGTTGTGTTATATTTATAAAAATGATTTATACTATTAAAATTTTAAATGCTGCCTTCAAAAAAGTGTGACTCCAGACATGTACCAATATCGCATACCCCTTGATTCGGGCCTGTGTTTTATTATTATTATTGTAATTATACTGAATGATTAATCAAACATCTTTTTTAAAAAACTATATTTATTTCAAAATTATAATTCGAACGAGTAGTTTTTGAATTATTGAAACATATATACTAAGTACATAATAACTAATTCTTTTTTTTTTTTTTTTTGTTATAAAATATTTTTATTATACAATCCATAAACAATGTTTACAATAAGCATAAGTAATATATTTTTTCCTTAATTCTTAAAAATGTTTAAGATTAAGTGTACATAGTTATTTTTATACCCAAACAGATTTAATAAAAGATACCTAAATGTTAAGTAATATTAATTATTATAATTTCTAAAATCATTGTAAGACATTTATGATCCTGTATTTTTTAAATCTATTATCATAGAATTTATTTACTTACTTATTAATATATAAAGTCAAATAACTTCAAACATAATTCTGACTTTCGGTCATTTGTTAATTAAGTTACAGAAAAAAGGATGATTTTCATTTGAAAAAATGAATTTGGTATTGACATTGCTGAACATACTCATTAAATGTCAAAAAAATGTAGCTATGATCTTTTAGTATACCTAATATATTTAAAAGATCCGAAAATCAGAATTTGAATAAATCCATTTTAAAAGGATAAAATGGAGGTGAGCCTGCTCCGGAAATCACTCTGTATAATTATTATTTAACTATTCAGGTATGCAATATATTACGATTTCGTGACATATTTGCGAGGGTAAAACGGTGAGGTGTGGGCTTAACTTTTTTCCGTCTCTTTAGTATACATAATATGTCAAACATGGCTGCTACAACACTTTTTCTACACGTCTTGACTCGTTTTCCATAATATCACTTCTGTAAAAAATGCTTTAGCCAAAACTGATTTTTTTTTCATTTACAGTTGTTTCATATATTTAAGATTTCGATTAAAGTTTTTAAATAATAAGAAAAATAATAATGGTCGACAATAATACATAATTGCAGCTGCAGACCCTATAGGAATATAACTAACAATAATTATAATATATGTTATGAGAAACAATAAATTAGCATACGTAAATGCAAGGCCTGTGATCAATCTAAAAAGCAGACAACTACTAACTATGCGGGTGTTATAAAAGTATTAACGAAGTGTAATATGTAATGCAAATTCTTAGAAATTCTAAAGAATTGAGCACATCTGCCACATTTTAATAGAATATTACACATGTTTTTTTTTTCATTTTTTCGTATAAAAGGTGTTATATTCATGCATAGCTTTGATTCACTACTATATATAACTACTTTAGACTCCCCTCCCCCTCATTATTGGTAAATATGAACAAAATACACGTTATACCCATAACTTATAAATTAACATATTTTTTTAAACTTTAACCCCGCCCGAACGAATTATTATAATATAATAGGTAGTGAACATTTATATCACCGATGATCGACTTATTTATACTACTGCTGCTATTATACTATGCACATAATGGCGTACATGATGTAGACTCGTGGCGTGAATACGATTTTTTTTTATCAGGTTTCTGGTTGAACGTGTAAGTATGCGTTTTACCAGACGTAAATCAGTATATTATGATGACATCGTTTGTATACGTACATATGCAATATGTACCCATGCAATATTATACACATCGACCGACCACCACCATTGCACACTCTTGACTCAGGACTCTTTCAAGCCCTTTACACCCTTTTATTAGACACTCTTATATGCAACGTCTTATGGCACATAAACACGACTGAATCATTTGAATTATATATATGTTACGGTGAATGATGTAAACGTGGTAAAAGACGTCATTCCCCGGTAAATGACATCATTTACCTAAAAAATTGGTAAACGTTGTAAATGCAGACATTCCCCGGTTATTGTCGTCAATCACCAGTTTAATCGGAGAATGATGTTTAATACTTTTATTTCAGTGTGAACGATCAGTGATAAACGTGTAGGTACCGAATAAGCTTCGTTAGTTAAAAATATCATGATGGAAGTAGATAGATAAACGAAAATCCCAACTAGCAATAACGTCGATTCTTTTAGTTTATTAGATAGTATCGACGGGCATATTATAACAAGTTGTATTTGCTACAAATATGTGTTAATATTATTTGTAAAAATGTGTGTACTAGTTATGGTACTAAAAAATTTGCTTGAAATGCAGCGGAAATGCTGTGTAGTTTAAAATATCATGGTAATTAAATTGTACAAATAAATAATTTGTAATTTGCATGTATTTTAAAATTTTTAATTAACCTATTATCTCCTTCAAATAAATGCCTAAAATAAAAAATGAAACATCCACCAACACTAAGTCATTATTATAAATAGTACCTATAGTAAAAAAATCAGTGTATTATTTGAGATTTATCATCATTTACCACTAGTTTTGGTAAATGACAACAATGACCGGTGAAAGATGTACATTTGAATTTAAAATCTGGTTTTTTACATAATTTACCTACAAAATCGAATAACTTTGGTAAAAGACATCATTCACCGGAGAATGACGACATTCACCAATATTCATCTTTCACCGTAACATATATATTTCAAAAATTATAAATCGTCAAATAAATATCATGACAAGATACTATCGTCTAGCTTACTCTGCAACTACACCCAGGTAGCAAATCGATTTTTATTTAAAAAAATATTAGGGAATTATTTTGCTTAGTCATTTGTACGTATAATGACGTATCGATTTTATAAAAACAGTAATTTCTACAGTATAGAAACAAAACGATGTAAAAAAAATACATATAAAAAAATATCGGTAAAAGCTACTAAGACTTTCCCCTTTTTTTCACACTTTTAATTTGTGCAAATTGTCAATTTATATTTCATTATTATTTATACGGGCGTGCATACAGCGATGTACAGCTAGTGACGATAAGTTAGTAAATATATTTTCTTAACCGGGTCCAATGTTTTAAGTTTTAACGAGTAACGACACCGACGAGTCACCCCGATCCTTTGCGTTCTTGCCATTTTATCATATATAATATCATATACCTGGAGCGCAATAATAAAAAGATCATGGCCGAGTTTATTTTAGAGTAGAATAATATGCTGTATTACATCGGTGTGCGCAGCCTGAAAATCGATGCCGTATCAATTTATTATTAAGAATAGGAAAAAGGTCATAAAACGCTTCTGTTAAGGATATATATATACACATATAATGTATGTTTGTATATACAATATATGATGTTCGGAACCTCCGGGTTAAGCGACATCCACGCGTGTGTGTATATAATATGGGGAAACAAATCGCCAATAATGTCTGTTCGACAAACATCGCAATAACCCTTAGCGCGCCGCGTTCGTCGTTTTTAGTGCATTTCCATCTACGGCGCAGTACTCCGATAGTGCACTAATATTTATACATAATAAACCGCACAATTATCTGGGCTTTATACTTTATAGGCATTTTACTTGTACAGTGTACAATCGTTTTAAACCT